ATTTTTAACGGGCTACCTATCCTGATGCAGGAAGCGCTTTCTGGCCTTTGTGACCGGCGTGGGCACCCCTCCACCTCCGCTAGTAGAGGTGCTGCGGCTGGAAATGCCATTCCTCCCTTTGACGGACGACGAGCGAAAGATGCAGCTGGGCATGCTGCCTCAGGTGAGCGGCATCATTCGCAATAACGGAATAATTGAGCAATAGAAAAGAATAAAAGAACAATCACAGAATATTATGACAATAGCAGAATAATGGAACAATAACAGAATCATGCTAATACTTGAAACAGGTGCAGTGCCTTGCAGCAGCTCACAAGTCACTGTCAACGCCAGGATTTCTTATTCTGGTGCCATGTGGTGCTATTTTATGCTTACTTGCCTTTATTTGTGTTAGTTTGTGGGCACCATGTGGAGATTTTTGTCACATGGTGACGACAAACTGATGCGATGCGGGCTCAAGCCCCGATATCTTGATGGTTTGGGGCAATGATCGAGACATCAACATCTGTAAGTTGGTCTCCCATTCACCATGACTGTTGTTTCGCATACCGTAGTATATTTAACCCTTCCGCATCAAACAGTTTTACCGTTACGCTTTATTCTCCGCATTTTTTCAGAGAGTCGGTTATTTTTTTGTGAGTTGCTCCGCAAAAATATTATTAAAGGAGCGTCTTTTTTATTTTATTGTTTTCTTCGCAATAATGCCAAGCACTGCGTTACCGTGCGGAGGGTTTGAATTACTACGACATAAAGGTCATTGTGGTGGAGAGGGCCCTGCAAGCCTATAAACTGAAAATCCCAATCCGAAAACAAATTTCACAGCATCCATGCCGCAAATTAAGGGAATCGCGTACGTGGAGCCGCCGAGCATCCCAACTGCACAATTTGGCAGCGATGCGCAAAAGGCTACAAGAGATAAATTGCAGCCTGCAAAGACGCCGCGATGGTGAGCAGTCCATACAAAGCACTGGCAGAAAAGGAACAAATAACGCTTTTTGCAAACACATATATATGCATTTTGTCAGTGTTCTGAACGCTAAAAATACGGAAATAGCACAAACCCGTGAACTTTGTGCACGTTTGAACACATGTTATTTGGACCTTTTTTCCTAGTGAAGGCGCGCCTTATGTCCACATGACCGCATTGCCACAAACAACATTCGACTGTGAACCCAATCAGCGTCGCGAATGTCATCGCCGCGAATTCCCGATTCCACGCAGCCTTTTTTCCAGCCTTCAAATGGTGTATGGCTTTCCCATCATGCATTTCCATGGTTGTGGGTTGTAATGATTAAGTACTGAAGTCCGTTGGTTAGCAAGTTCAACCGCTTGGCAAGCCAGCCATACAGCCATGCCGAGCTTCACCGTATCTTCTATGTTGTACTGTGAACGAATCACAACAACGGACCGTACGTTGGACGCCAACTTTCACATGAGATGCTGAAAGGCTGCTTTGTGATTGCTCTGCAGGCTTCCACGTGTACCAACACCCTGCAGATACCAAACTACTGGGAGGCGCTGCTGTGCACGCGTGGCTTGCAGTTGACGTGTGGGAACGAGGCGCGGGAGGACCTCAGAGCAGAGGTGAGAAAATGGCGGGAGGCAAAACGAACATGCTGTTGGGAAAGGCGTAGCGGACAGCGTCCCATGGGGAGGGTTGGTCTTTGCGTTTGCGCTCACATTTTTACGCATAAACACTCAGAAATGCAAAAGGGGCTATTTTTGCGGCTGTGGACTGTTGGGACACCCACGTTACATGATGAATTTGCATACAATAGTCACTCCTCCGGCCCATTGAACACCCGAAACACAGCGCCCATCTAGCCTAGGCAAGGGCAAACACGTCTTCATACAAAACACTGTTCTCTGCACACTCCAGCGCGTCTGGCTGCCACTCCCCGGACTCCTTCAGTCTGCGTGTACTGTCTATATGTATACAAGGTCAATTTTTACGCATTTTTACCTGCATTTACACCCGAAAACCTAAGTACTATTTTTGCCCGTAAATATACGTAAACTCATAGTGTTTTCGACGTAAAGACCAAGGCTGCCCATGGGATACCAATTTGAGTGTCCACGACACAATATTGAATGTCTGCGATGTGCCCAAAAGAGCGCCCTGCTGCATTAGCGTGATCGGTTGCAAACTGCAAGGATGCGCATCTGCAGTGGATGTTCTCGAGTCGTTGACAATATGTTTCGATTTCCCGTTATTCAGTCGCAAGTCGGAATGGGGAAATTGCTTGTGGCAGGCGCTTCTGGTTCAATCCAATCCACAAAATATTTTGTGATTCTTCTGACGTATTTCTTTAGATTTCTGGGCTTCGCGTCCCAAAATGCAATGACTAAAATGAATATTGTCAAGAAATGTGAATATAACTGAAGTACATTTCCGCATAAACGTGGCATCGGCAACTATAACACTGGTGGAAAATGGCATGTTTGCGATGACGACTGCCAGGCTTGGTTTTTGCGCCGTAGAAACTGATCGATTTACGTTTTTGCACGTAAAAACAGTTTTTACGTTTTTACGCGTAAAAATGCATAAAAATACGTAAATACAACATAAAAACTGCCTGGTGCACATAAGGACAGTACATACAGATTTACAGAGTCCGGAGAGCGGCAGCCAGACGCCTTGGAAGAGGCAGAAAACGAGTTTTCGTTAAACGCCATTATCGCCCTTGCCAAAGGCGAGGTGGACATTGTGTTCCGGGTGATGGAGATGGCGGATGACTGATCATTGTACGCAACTTTCATCGTGTAACCTACGTGTGCCAGGGAGCCGCAAAAACGTAAAAATGGACGCAAAAATACGGCCTTTTGCAAATTTACGTTTTTACGCGTGAAAACGTAAAACTAAAAACGTAAACGTAAGCGCAAAAACCAAGCCTGCCGACTGCGATGCCATTTGGGCACCAAGTGGCACTGTTGCAATGACTGCGATGGCTCGAAGGTGGATGCGATGGCATCAATTTGTGCCAAATGGCATTGCGGTTGGCATCGCAGAAAGGCTGTCTTCTGTTGATGTATAAGGTTAATGCATCAATTCGTATCGTTAACATGCTGTTTAGTTCATTGTGGATTGCCAACAATTGCTGCTGTGCGTTTGGAGGGCAGCTGCGAGAGGTGGTGGAAGATCGGCTGCGGTTGGCAGTGATGGGCTGCGAGGGATATGAGTTGGACTGAAGCTGGCATCCCCGCTCGCGAGAGGTTCACAGATCAATGGACGCCATATTCGTTCAACCAATTCGCCCGCTCAAATCGGTGAATAGACAGTTGATTATCATCAAAACTGTAAACCAGCTGAATGAGTTCATTCCATGGTCATTTGAAGTGGAATGTGAGCCACTTGATGACCAAACTACTGCGCCTGCCGGGAGCTGTCGAGCTTTCCTAATATAGACAGGAGTGTTGGGGGCCGGGAAGCTTTAAGCTTCCCAAGCTTCCAAGCTTCCAAGCTTTGCTAAGTTAGCAAATGGGCATTACTATTAATAGTAACATTACATAGTAACATTAATAGTACAATATTGTACTAGACGTGTTGTTCTTCTTAATTTTGATTTGTGGATTGGTAGATGCTGTTGAGGGTGCGGCGCCATTCGCCTTTGCACGATGAACCATTTTGGACGTGGGGAATGGGACAATGTGCAAGATGGGCTTGGGAAGCGGCTTCATGTTCTGGAACGTTGAAGAATTGATTTAATCAGATCTTCGTCTGAGTTGAGTCAAGTTAGCTTAATATACTTTTACGTTGGTTTATTCGCTGATTGCTCCATCAGTACCTCCACGAGCAAATGCGCAACGGATGCGATATTTTGTGTCGCTGTTGACTACAGTGGACGCCTATAGCTGTCTGAATATTTGACGGCCTGCCACACGCCATGCTATTGCGTCTGGTGATATGATTTTTCCTCCAGAGTCAAAGAAAACGTCCTCAAAGTCATCGAAGACCTCATGCCATCTGCCATGGCCTCCACGGGCCGATGCTTTTGCGCCGCCATCCCGATGCGATCAATGCCGATCGCTATGATCTACCCAAAGATAATTGCTTGGCGGCTCGTTCTGCAATCTTGGATGGTACACTTGCGCCACTTTTCGTTGCACATTGCGCTGCGCTCATTGGCCCCCCGCGCAAGCCAGCAGGACGGGGTATCAGTGGCAGTGCGTCAGCCTCGGTACATTACGCATTTCAGCGTGTGGAGCCCCTCCGACAGCATTACGCCGCATGCCAGAACGGCGCAAATGCCCTGCAGGCGCATTGCCATGCTGCTCTGTACGTTGATCGCTGCGGTCTTGTAGTTTCCTTGGTTGGTTAGTCAAGAAAACGGACTTCATCATTCCGACTCGTTAATGGACTCCCCCAACCAAATCTTGCAAAATGCTCCCAGGATTTTGCGAGCTATCCGCTGAATTCTGGACCACAGGGGGCGCCAGTCCATGCGATGGTCGCAGTCGCCCAACTTTCAATGCCCTATTACTGGCCGGCCAAACGCGCGCCCAAAATGCCCCGTGGCAATCCTAACTGGATCAAATAAGGGCCCGGCACCTTGCCTCTCGTCAGCCATATCGGCAACACGAACACGCTTCCAAAGTGCCCAAGGAAATCCTAAACTAACAAAGCTAAACTAAAACTAACCTTAAACCAAGGCTAAACTAAAGCTCAAGTGAAGCTAAAGTACAGCTGAACTAACAGCTAAACGAAAGATGAACTGAAAATTACTAGATTCAACAAGGACCCAGCTCTTAGCAGCCTGTGGCCCGCCTTCGCCACCTACTGGTCAGAAATCTTCCCGCTCAGCACTTTTTGGTCATGCGCGCAAAACGCGCCTCCCTCTCAAAATTGCTTGCGCTTCAGCGAGCCGCCAACCGCAACCCGCCGCCCCCACCCGCTCGGCCACCTTCTCTCAGGGCTTCGAATTGTCCACAATCGAGATCGCCGCGGAACTGGAGAGCTGCTCAGGGCTTTGATTGTCCCCAGCTGGAGATCGCCGCCGACGATGGGCATCAGCGTGCACCCCACGCGCCTGCGGGCGCTGAACGGCGCTGCTGCCGATCCCGCCGGCAGATTCATTCTGTATTGGATGAGCCAATCAGTGCGCACGCGGCACAACCCGGCATTGGCCCACGCCGCGGTCAGTGCTGCGCGGCTCAAGCTGCCGCTGCTGACAGCATTCGTGCTCGACGAATCCCAGCCGTACTTAAACAAACGGCACTACGCTTTTCTGTTCGACGGGCTGAGGGACGTTAAGAAGAGGCTGGAGGGGAAAGCGCTGGATTTTTTGGTGGTGAGGGGGAAATCTGTTGAGATCGTGCCCAAAATGGCAGAAAGGGGAGCTGCTGCGGTGGTTACTGATTGTGGGTACTTGAGATGGGGGAGGGAGGTAAGGGAACAAGTGGGAAGGATTGTGGGAGTTGAGATGACTCAGGTAGAGGGGGATGTTGTAGTTCCTGTTGAGGTGGCCAGTGATAAGCAGGAGTGGGCGGCCAGGACGATCCGGCCGAAGATTCATCGGCAGATGGAGACCTACTTGGGGAGCAAGGGGGAGGATTGGAGTGTTGATTTGGGGGAAATAATCAATGATAAATTGAAGAATGGGGAAAAAGTGATTGATTTGGAGGAGATTACTCGGGGCTTTGATGTGGTCGATGTGGAGGATGGGTTTGAGGGGCTCAAGAGGGGGTTGGAGGTGGATTGTGTGCCCAGGGTTGTGGGGTGCAGGGGAGGGGAGGAGGAGGCCGAGCGCGTGCTGGCCGAGTTCCTGGAGGGGAAGCTCGGGGGGTATGCGGAGGGTCGCAACGAGCCGGCCAATGACATGCAGAGTGGCCTGAGCCCCTACCTCAGGTTTGGCAACATCAGCGCAGTGCACGTTGCGCGGAGGGCGTTCGCTGCCTCGAGCAAGAGGACCAAGGCTGGGGTGGACTCTTTTACAGAAGAGCTGATTGTGAGGCGAGAGCTTGCTGTGAACTTTGTGTTCTACGCAAAGCATGTGTATGACAGCTACAGCTGCTTGCCAAACTTTGCTAAAACGACACTGGAGGAGCATGAGGGGGACAAACGGAAATACATCTACACGTATGAGGAATTTGAAGCTGGCTGCACACATGATGAGTACTGGAATGCTGCGCAGATGGAGATTGTGGTGACTGGGAAGATGCATGGATACATGCGCATGTATTGGGCCAAGAAGATATTGGAATGGACTGAGAAGCCGAGAACAGCGATTTCGTATGCGATTCGCCTGAACAACCGCTGGGGCTTGGACGGTGAGGATCCCAACAGCTATGCAGGGATATTATGGTGCTTTGGGCTGCATGACCATGGATGGACGGAAAGGGAGATATTTGGAAAGGTGAGGTACATGAATGACAGTGGGCTGAAGCGAAAGTTCAACATGGGCGCGTACATCAAGAAGGTTGGAGAACTTGTGAAGAAGCATGGTCTGCCTCCAGAATTGGAGGCTGTGCAGAAAAGAGGTGGGGGTCAGAAAAGAATAACTGACTTGTTTGAAGGTGGAGCTGGTGGTGGGTCCAAGAAGAAGCAACGCAAGAAGTAGTTCCAAGCCAAGCTGTTAGATGGCATTCTTGGGATTTGACAAAGCACAATCCTTGCATCTTGCAAACTGCGATGAGTAGCAGTGACTTTGGGAATGGACATGTGAGTTTGCAGGTACAGCGCAAGAGCATGCGTTGATGCGGTGGTTGTTGCAACCACCTGGGGTGGGTGGCTTCCCACAAATGTTTTTGCTAGTACTTTTAGCTCATCATGTATTAATCAAAATATACAGTTTCTTGGTTTTTTTAATTACTTCTTTACATTTATGCAATCTGACAAGGCGATGGTGGGCATCCACAAGGCGATCGAGGGTTTTCATGCCGTGGAGCATGGCCTGGTTTGCCCTGCTGCAGGTCTGGTTCGCAAGGGCTCCACTTCAGACCAAATGTACATGCAATGCATTCTGACAACACGCCACTGAAAGATTTCCTTTCACATTACAATGCGCAGCTCAGTTGCACACCAGAAACCATTTGCTGAAGTCTTGCACAAATGGAGGCTTCCATCTTCAACGCCTCCTTCTGGATCACTTTCCCTAGCACAATCAGATGCTGCTATCCTCCCCCCAATTGGCATAAAGGCTAATGTGCTGTACATTTCCAAAACTGCAGGAAGGGGCAACAGTGCATACACCCAATTCCACTCAACTTGTGTTGCAACGATGCTGGGCAGATTTCCTCTTCCCCAAGTTGTGTGCGGAGCAACACAAAGTCAGTTCATGTGCTTGGCTCATCAACAGCTTGTTTGATGTGTTCTGTGAGCACTGCAGTATTTATGCCCACTCAGCTCCTCGCCTTGTGCGAGCCCGTCGCAGTCGCACAAGAGACAAACCCAAGTTGCCAGCTATCGGCACACTGGAGGTAAACAAAGCTGGGGTTTCCAGCGGTGATGCCATTGCATCCATTCTCTCACATTCAATAACGTCATATTGACACTTGTGGCGCCCCCTATGTTACTTGGATTCTAGGAAAGTTCTCTCTCAGCGTGCAACAAAACCTTAGGATGTTGTGGGCGGGTGGCCGCCCCCCCGGGCACAAATTCACCCCTAGCTGACTTTGTGTCAGTCGTAACTGACTTTAGGTGAGGGGATTAGGGTTAGGGGGATTAGGGTTTAGATCAGGGGACTTCAGAGGATTTGGTGCAACAATTCAGCCCTTCTGGGGTGCAATCCTCAGCGTACGCGTACTGGGGCCACCCCGCCCCACGCGCCATTTGGCCCCCGCTCCTGGTCGCCGCGCCGTCCCCCCTTCCCTGCAGCGCCCCGGACCACCGCCACCGGGCCAGGTCCCCCACCAGCCCAAGCCCGCGGGGATCGCAGATTTTTGGCAGGCCGCGTTGGTCTTCGGCCTCCCCGCCGAACCGGCCGGCCGCGAGAATGTTGTCGTGGTGGGAGCAGTTCCTGGAATGGCTGAGGAGGTAAGCGAGGGGCGCATCACGGACGCAGGGGAGCACGGCGCAATCGTTTCTGAAGGGGAAGGCCGCAGCTTCACCGCTACGATTGCACTCCCCGCGCTCCCCCCACCCACCCACCTAACCCCGCGTCCTTGCGCTCTGAAATTTTCATTGGCGATGAAATAACTGTTGTTCCTCTTTCCTAAGTTCAATCCGATTGTTGGCGTTTATCCAAAGCGTGGCGAAGCAAGCCCCTTTACCAATCAAACGACGTAGGGCAGAGTCGCCAGCAGCAGCATTTGATGCGGGTGGTGTTCGTGTTGCCAGCGATGTCCAGCCACAGAAACAAAGGCTCAACGCCCACAAAGCGGCTGTTGATGCTCTCGACTCCCACGGCGTTCGTTGCAGGAACGCGCATGAGCGAAATCCCGAACAAAGATGCCTGCGCTGGCTGAATTCCTTCGGTAAAACAGAATCCGCCTTCAAAAAGACGAATTAGAGTTACCGTCGTTGGTTGTTGAGTTGCAAATGGAGGTTCGCCAACCACATGGGGGCGCGTGGCCCCTCCGTGCGCGCCTTTGCGTGGAGAAGAGGGTGGGGCTGTTTGAAAATTTTGAATTTTAGGTTTTAAATTTTCAAGTCTTGGCGGTGGTTTCAGAATTCGAATTGTTTCCTTGGGTGGTCGACTGCGAACGACCCTGCAGTTGGCCCTTCACTGCTGTGTGGGTCTACCATCCTCGAGAATGCTCTACTCTGAAGTCTTATCCGGCTCCTTTACTCCCCAATCTTGGCGGCATCCCCAGTCTTAGTAGTTTGGACTTGGTGGCTTAAGTCTTAGATGATGGTTGGTAGGCTGTTCTTTTGTTGGGTTTGGGTTGGGGTGCACTGGCCGCTGCAAACACTAAGGGGATCTGCGAAAGCCAGGCAACCAGTTGGATGGGCCATGAGCCCGCACTCATTCAAGATTTCTTCAACACACACGTCATAAATATATGTCTGCATTTTCCAGCACTTTCAATTTTGTGAGCACTTGTTGTAAGATCCCTCAAGTGATACACCAACAACGAGCTGCTGCGAGCTTCACAGCGTCTGGAGTACTGGCAAATAGACAACCTTGTTTGTGGCTGGGAACTTTGTTTGTTGGTGGATGCGGCATAGTGCCATCTGCCTGCACTCACATTTTTCTGCCTTCACACAGACGTGCCTCGAGTGCATGTTTGTTGTTGCTTTTGTGCATACTCATCGTTTTTGGATGCGCTCTTGCTGTTGGTGGCCGCAGGGCACTGTAAAGCAGAAAATGCCTAACTTCCTCTTGTCAGAGCTGTCATTTTACAGGAGTAGCACCCCTATATGTGTGACTTGTTCTTCAGAGTATCGAATGCTTATCAACCCGCCCGCCTTCATAACGATGCTTGAGCTAATAGTCAGTTGGCACATCAGAGTGGAAGCAGAGTTTTGTTCCATCCTTGTCCATTTGCAGATCCACACTTTGGTTGGTTGCCAAGGGCAGCCGGCAGCTTGCTTTTCTTGCAGTGAGTTGAACCCATTCCACGTTGCCTTACATCTGCCCTGTGTTGTGGAAGTTTGTTCTTCCTCAAGGAGATGGAGCTGTCCCTAATCGGGCTCCAGAGTGCTGGCAAGACTTCCCTTGTCAATGTGATCTCCACGGGCGACTACAAGGAGGACATGATACCAACAGTAAGACCCACAGAAATATGAGCAAACAGCAATAATGCCCACAGAGTAGTACCCACACATTCATTGGGACTGCTTCCTGCCTTGTTTTATGGGCGAAATACACACCAGAAAACGTGCTGAAGATGACCCTCTTTGGCCCATTTCCCTTGACTGTTCTTTTTTACGCCACACTCGAATTTCCTCCAGTTGATGCAATATGCATATGGAATAAATTGTGCAGAATTGCCATGTTTGCCAGTGCCTTTTGCTATTTGTGCTGTCCTGGGCTGTGTATTGTGCCTGTTGCACTGAGCAGCGGTTTGTTTGGAATAAGTTTGTTGCACCACCTCCTGATGGTGGTGACGAATGACCCACATTCTCCTTGTTGTTAAAAGGCAACCTTGGATGGAACCCTTGAGACTATGAGTTTGCTGTTGCACGGAAAGCCTTTCAGGCTGTGCACCGCATTGCATTTTCGTGTGAGGTGACACAAGGACAGCATCTTGGATGCCAAGACAGGGCTGAACTCTTTGGAAATGCTGTCACATTTTGGATTATGTGAAAATTCTTGATCTAAGGTTGTTGCATCTGCTTCTGGTGCTTCCTGCAAGGAACGCACTGTGTTTTACTCCACCTTTTAGTGCAAAATTTCACATCACTTTTTAGGAGGACACCTGGACTCTTAAATGTGTTGTAAAACCAAGTTGTTGCATGTTCTCCTTGCTTCTGGTGCTTCGCAATTGGTTCAAGGGCCATGGGGCATGTGTTGTGAAATGTTATTTACACAAATTTGACACCTTCCGCTTTCTCTACATGTTCCCAGGTTGGTTTTAACATGCGGAAGGTGACCAAGGGGGGTGTCGTCATCAAGTTGTGGGACCTTGGCGGCCAGGTAAAGAACAAAATGAGCACGAGTCCCCATGGACTTGTTCCTTGTTTCCACAGTAATTGGCCATTGTGAAGCATCCTGCTTCCTAGCCATGTGCCATCAGAGAGAGTGGGTAATGGATATTGTAGTAGACAATAGATTGAAGGGGAAAAACAGGGCACACCACAGAGACAGCTAGCCATACAGTTGATGCACAATGATCGGATGGACAATATTCTTTTTCTGCATATCCATGTACCCCAATAGTGAGTGCAGTCCTCGCTCGCCCCCAGCTTAAGCCTGTGAGCCTGAGGGTGGTATGTGGCATTCCGTGCGCAGCCTCGCTTCAGGGGCATGTGGGAGCGCTACTGCCGTGGCGTGCAGGCCATCGTCTTTGTCGTGGATGCCTCCGACCTCGACACAATCGATGACGCCACCCGGGAGCTGCATGGATTGCTGGACCGCCCGCTTCTGGAAAACATCCCGCTGCTAGTGCTGGCAAACAAGAACGATGTGCCAGAGGCGGTGGGGGTGGAGGAGATCGTGAGCAGGATGAACCTCAAGGTGCAGAGCCTGTGATTTGTGATGTGGTGTATGGCTATGTGTGGACATGATATATGTTGTATATATCATGCTATATGTTATATATGTTATGATATGTGTGTTTGGATATGTGGATGCCACAGATACATGTGGTATGAACAGTGGCTGTAGTGTTCCACATGGATATTCATTGTTATATTTGGCCACGTGGCGTCACGCGACCCTAGATACTTGTGGGTTCTGCGGTGCAATTGTACTGAGTAATGTGCATGGGCGATGTACCTCACAGTGCAAATCCTGTGACGGGTATTGCAGTACGTATATACGCATACATGTCCAAGTACAGGTCCAGTACAAACAAGTGCACGGCAATGCCAACATGTATGCCCTTCCAGCTTTTGTTCCTTGGGGACAGGAACCAGTGCGCAGCATGGAGAGGCTGGATGGTCTCGTGTGGATCGCCAGTGACAATGCTACTGGTCAACTGCAACTATGTGTGCTGTGCACGGTCTACAGTTAGTATGCACTGCTATTCACTGTACATGCTGTATGCTGAATTTGCTGCACCAAACTCTTGATAATGCAATCAAGGACAATGTAAGGATGCCCAAGCACTGCTTTTTGCATCAGTCTCATCCAGCTGAAAAGTTGGCTGCCTTGCCATTTGCACTTAGCTTGCCAAGAATTGAACACACATTCAATCTCCATAAGAAGCTCCAAAATCCCTCAGCCATGCACAATTATGTTGGAGCACAGTTAAAGAGTGCTGTGGGATGTCATTCTGCACAATGGTACAGTCACATGGCACTGTTTGCGTGTCCGCAGTGGTAGCAACGAATCGCTGTGGTTGGCAAGTCCTTTCTTGGGTTTTCTTCCATCAATGATGCAGTGCCGCCAACTGCGATCCATGGGCTCGCATATCCCATAATATAACAAAGGACTGCCCTGGTACCTTCCAATGGATATTCGGCGTAATTCATGGGTTTCATGTTCACATCATTGTCAAAGTATGCATGATTCTTAGGTTAGTGATATTCAAGGCATTGATGCTCACATTTTGTTATTCATAAGATGAACGTAATCCCTGACACAGCTTGCTCAACACTGTGTCATGGCTTTCCGTTGCCTCTGCCTTATCCAGAATGCTAGCGGCGAAGTTGCCTGACTGTGGGTGTGCTTTGTTCCTGTGCCCGCAACAGAGTTTGACGATGCGTGAGGTCGCCACCTACAGCATCTCGTGCAAGAGCAAATCCAACATCCATCTGGTGCTGGAATGGCTGACAAAGCACGCTAAGTGATGCTTGGGCAGTTACCGTTTGAATGCATTGGGCGGAACATTAATAGTACTGCCCATTGATCCTGCAATGCTATTTGGCGTCATGGCCCAGGGGTGTTGCCAAAGAGTGAGGGCTGGTACCATGGAAACCGCCGGCAATTCCCCGTTTGGATGCGGGACCCCCAGAGACAGGAGTTTGGATTGATTGCCAACATCAGTGCAGCTGGTGCCGAGACACTGCGATTTGGTTCCAGACCCTCTGGCATCGATCAGGGGGCTATTTGCTGCATGGCCTGTGAGGTTGGGAACGACACGAAGAGCGAGTTCGGTGCCTGTGCAGTTGTGGGTGACCACATTGGCATGGTTGACATCTGCGCATGCTGTGTCTCATTTTCCCAACACGCTGATATCGCTGTGCATGGAGACGAAATTCTGTTGATTCCAATTGTGACGCTTGTGCTTGCGTTGTCGTGCGAAGTGTGCGGTTGAGACTTGTGTCAGTGCTGCTGAACTTCGTTTGTGCAATCAACATTCATTCCAGCATTCCGGTCAAACAGCCGAAAAGAGGAGTGAACAAAGTCAATCGAGTTTGGGAAGTTGGATATTGGTATTGTAGTCCACAGCCCCGCAAATCTGAATCCAGAATTCGAGATTGGCCACAAGGGAATGCTCAACGGGAAATACCAGTCAATCGCTCAAAACAAGCGTTCAGTCAGTTCATGAATCAGTGCCAAACAAGGGAAGGAGAATGTCAAAAAAAGATATTGTGGCATGGGAGCCATCTTTTATGGAAGAGAGAAGGCCATTGTGAGGCGTCACAACGTACATTGCCGCTGTTGCACAGATTTGACTTGTCGCTGATTGAAACTGACGGATTTCATTGGACCCACAGCGGTGAACAGCACTGCCCTTGTACCTTATTGCTGACATGTTCGAGTCCTACACTTTGGGACTGTGGGTCCAGTAGATTGAATGGCGCTGCTGCTCCTGTTGCCAAATTGGAAGCAAACGACATGTCACGTTGTGAGGTGCCATCTCTGGGCTTTCTTTCGTCCCTGGGCTGCTCTTGCTGCGCCACGTTGTTTAAGACGGCCCCAGCATTACCATAATCAGGTCATTCGCCCCCAAATACACCTGAAGAACTCCGTTCTCTTGCCTTGTGCGTTAAAGCAGTATTGCATGTTTGTGTCACCGTTACATATTTCATTGATACTGCATATTCATATCACTTGTTTGTTCATTTCGTTGATGTTGTTCGTGAATGGGCAGAGCGCTCCCGGACATTGTCGGCCAGGCTAAAGGGCACTGCATGGGACCCTGGCTTCCAGATTTTGTTGCGCCATACATTATATTTCAATGGCAAACCATGCACACAGCTTTGCTCGGGCAAAACACGTAGCTGACGGCTGCCTCCCTGCCTTGCTGCGTAAAATTTGATAGCGAAAGCGATGATGCACCCTCCCTGAATGGGATCATACCCAACTTGCCTGCAAGTGCACGAGGGACTCCCCCGCACTATCTACAGTGGGTAGTGTATTCAATTCTTCCGCATAGTAACATAGCGCTCGGCCTTTTCTGCGGAGGAAACAATGAAACAGAGCAACGC